CGATCTACGTATGTCAGCGTACGCCAGCGACTAAGAAAGTATGGATATCGGTGTAGAGAACGATAGCGTCAACCAGCGTATGCCAGGGTACGCCCGCCTACAACAACGTTTCGAGCAACTAAGAAAGTATAGATATCGGTCTAGCATACGCCAGTGTACCAGTTGCCCACGAAAATGCTGCTGCCAGCGTACAGCAGCGTTTTTGCAGGCAGTTTTTTTCAAGATTCAATGACCTTCGAAAATGCTGGCATACGCTGGCTTTCGCTATATCGATGTCTATACTTTCTGATCGCGCGCGTACACCCAAAACGCTGCCGTACGCGGACCCGAAGTATGAACGCATCCTTATCTGCATGATCACGCCCAAAAAGTTCTTTAAAGCCTTTTGTATACTCTTGTTTCGTCACTGCCTTTGAAACCCTATTTTTGGAACAGATCGCTAACATAAAAAAGAAAACAAAAAATAAGCAAAAAGAAATCCTAAAAATGTATTCGAGGCAGTCGAGGCGGAAGTGATTGTTTTATCCGGATATTCCTTATACCGTAGAAAAAAAGAGTATTACGGCTTACGTTGCCTACTCACGTGCGAATAGGAACGTTTCTATGGCGTTAATCTTTTTGTACTGTTGTTTCAGTGGATTGTTTTCAGCTTCTGGATGTGAATTCGACAAGTGACAATGAAATACTAATAAGCTATCTGGCAGCAGTATCACGTCTAGATGAGCCACCAGAAGAGTTCATGAAAGCCATTAGCATAGCTCGGGTAATTAGTTGTAATGGAAAAGATCAAGTTTTTCTTCGAGACTTTGAAATGGAATTTTCCAGACACGGGCTTCGGATTCTTCATCATCGTCATCACCATTTCATGACGAACGCTTCAAGCAGATCTATACAATGTTTAATTGTTTCAGTACAGATTTTGACGGTAACTTCAAATTCTTTGATTATAATCAGGGCATGTCCTGCCATTGGAGAAAAATTTAGAAGGAATCCTCCTCAAAAATCCCGTCTCCAGTGTGACCCCCTCTTCCCCATCCCTCATCCCTCCAACCATCTTCTTGAACTTTCCGATTTTTAACCAGTTTTAGTCACCTCTAAAGTCAACAGTTTTTCCCCAAAAAGCCAGCTACCATCGAGAGGGGGAGGGGCTGTGGAGCACGTGAAACAGGAAAGCGAGCTCAGCAACCACACATTCTTCACTACAATACTTCACCCCTCCTGCGAGCAAATTCGACCCCCTCCCCCATGCTGGGGATCCCAATGCCTTGGTTACTTCATGGAAGAATGTTTCACTTTCATGTTAATCAGCGGAAGCGCAAGAGCTTAACTTCAATTTCAGGGTCAATGATCTCTGGAGCTTTGCATGTGGCTGTCAATGAAATCAATGCCAACCCAGATCTTTTACCTAATCATCGTCTTAACTACATTTTCGACAACACATGTGGTAAAGAGCGGCAAAGTGAGTTTAAAGCACTCCTAAACCTGTTTTCTTTTGTGATTTTCGCTTTGAATTTCACTCTTTGATCGACGTTGTGCTTTTGAACTTTTGATATTCATCTAACCTTGAGTGTCTCGTTATCGAGAGTCTTTAAAAACTATTTTAATCCTGTACAGTAGCCATAACTCGTCTCTCACCGTTCCGAGAATGCTTGTTGCAGCAATATGTGTATAAGTGCTGCTAAACTCCCAGAGATAGCTGCATAGTATACATATTGATATTTATTATCGGCAGCAGAAGCAGAAACAAACCTGAAACGAAAAAAAACTGGCTACCACACTTGTCACAGTAGGGAAGTCATCTTGAGGAAACAGTCCTGTTGAAAGTCTCCAACTGTATCTGGAGTGACGATTTTTCTTGAAGCTGTGTAATATTCCCACTGTTAACTGAAGGGTGGCGAAAAATTAAGTGTAATGGACAGCGCACTTACCCGGTGAGTGGGAGATGTGGGTAGGAGTCCGCCTCGGGTCTGACTTTTGCCCATGATTCAACGTTCTTGTAATAATTTTCGGAGCGCGAACTGCAACGAAGCCGCCTTATCATACTAG